AATGCACCCATAATGAGCAAAGCGGAGCGACCCATCACAGGGCCGGCGAGGGACCCAGCTCCGCCTGCGAGCCTGGCGGGGGCATGACCCCCCCGTCTCTCTCCCCGGCCCCCCAGGGACAAGGGCTTCCTATGGGGCGCCTGGAAGCAGAAGGCGGGGGACCCGCGGGGCTGAGCCTGCCATGAAGTCGCACTGGGTCGGGACTCAGCAGGGGCAGGGCGTGGGGGGAAAGGAGCACCCCCATATTCGCACTGCACAAAGGGGGGGGCACAGCGCTCTGCAAAGGGGCCCGGCCAGGGCACGTGGCCTGCGGGGGGGGCGGGGGCGCATCTGGGGCTGGGGGGGGGGGGAACCGAGCTATTTTGCAAAACACACCACCCCACCCCCCAGCACCAGCCCCCTGCCCACGTGCACGCGCAAGGGGGGTCCCAGCCCCGGCGCCCCCCACTCACCCGGGCCAGGCAGCGCGGGAACATGCTGCAGGCGGCGCGGGGCAGGTGGCGACTCCCGGGCGCTGCTCCGCGGGGGCGGGGCCCGAGCGACGGGAAGCACGTGACCCCGCCGCTCCCGGTGCATCCTGGGGGATGTAGTTCGCCCGGGCCAGCGCCCGAGCCCCGCCCCCCTGATCGTTCATGCAAAGTGGTTAATGAGCTGATTTGCATGTTTGCAAATAAGTGGCACCTACCGCAGCCTAAGGGAGCCGGAGGGGGAGCCTGGGGCGTAGCGGGACCAGCGAGCAAGTGTGACAAAGCGGGACACTTCCGGGGGAGGGGCAGTTGTGTGGATGGGGGTGGGTGTGGGGGGGTAGTTGTGGGGAGGGATGGGCAGTTGTGGGGGGAGGGGCAGTTGTGTGGATGGGGGTGGGTGTGGGGGGGTAGTTGTGGGGCGGGACGGGCAGTTGTGGGGAGGAGGGGTAATTGTGTATAGGGGGAGGGGCAGTTGTGGGGGGAGGGGCAGTTGTGTGGATGGGGGTAGGTGTGTGGGGGGTAGTTGTGGGGAGGGATGGGCAGTTGTGGGGGGAGGGGCAGTTGTGTGGATGGGGGTAGGTGTGGGGGGGCAGTTGTGGGGTGGGACGGGCAGTTGTGGGGAGGAGGGGTAATTGTGTATAGGGGGAGGGGCAGTTGTGGGGGGGAGGGGCAGTTGTGTGGATGGGGGTAGGTGTGTGGGGGGGTAGTTGTGGGGAGGGATGGGCAGTTGTGGGGGGGGAGGGGCAGTTGTGTGGATGGGGGTAGTTGTGGGGGGGTAGTTGTGGGGCGGGACGGGCAGTTGTGGGGAGGAGGGGTAATTGTGTATAGGGGGAGGGGTAGTTGTGTGGGGGGGGTCCTCCCGTGAGTTTAGTCCCATGTGTTTGCAGGATTGGGGCCATTTAGACGGGAAGCTCTTGGGAGGGGTGGGGGAGGGCAGGGGCTTTGTCCGCCAGTGTGAACCGTGGCCCAGCAATGCTGCCCAGCGATTGCTCCCCCAGTGCTGACATGCAGCCACCTCTGGGGTGAAGCCCAGCAGCTGGTTCTCACCCACCCCTGCGTCCTGCCACATTTCTGAAGGGTGTGCATTACAGGGAGGGCCCGGCCCAGGCCAAGGGCCTGCTGTGCCAGGGCTCTGCGCAGACAGAGAGTGAGAGGGAGCCCCAGTGCCAGGCCCAGAGGTTGGCGAGCCCAGAGATTCTGGGCCAGTTATCCCCAGTGCATGCCGCAGCCTGGCCCCCAGTGATGCAGCATCAAAGGGACCTTCCCCCCATGCAGCCTCCAACAGCTTCTTCCCCTTTGATGGCTGGCAGAACAGGCCGTAGGGAGCCGGCGGGACCCGCGGGCAAAGGGAGCCGGGCTCTGGCAGCAAAGGGGCCTGGGAGCTGCAGCCACACAGCTGGGTGGATGGCAGAGGCAGGGCAGAGACGCTGCGGGCAGCCCCTGGCACCCCTGTGCCGCAGGGCTCAGTGGTGCAGCGTGACCTAGTGGGCACACGTTTGCATCCCGACGGCTTGCAGCCATTACAGAGCCCGGCGCACGCTCTGCAAGTGTCAGGGTGTTAGCCCCAGCCCCATGGGCTGCTGCCCTACATATGTCCTGTGTTGTCAGCTTGGCGTGCCGTACTCTTCACGACACTATCCCGGAGCGTTGCTGTGTGTCATCAAATAGCTGCCGTGCTCCACTCCAGAGGCAGCTGCATTCCCAAACTAGTTGAGCCGTCCCGGCACGGCATTGCTGTGCGACTGTTACTCAGCTCCAGCGCCCATCCCCAAAGGTGGCTGCGTTTCAGTGCTGGGTGAGCGATCCCTGCGCAGCTTTTTGCTGTGTGGTTATGAACCAGCTGTCGCAGCCCACTCCAGAGGTGGCTGCATTTCGGTGGTGGGTAGCAAGTCTCTCACCCTAGGAAGCTAGGCCCGAGCCAAGACCTTTCTCCCATCGAAGAATGTGCCCTGCCCCTCCAAAGTCACTCAGTGGCAGATCTGGGACTAGAACCCCTTGCTCTAACCACTCAGCCCCACTCCCCTGCCACAGCTGGGAATGGAACCCAGGAGTCCTGGCTCCCAGCCACTCCTGTCAAAGCCAACTAGAGTCCACTCCCTTCCCAGACTCAGTCCAGGACCCGGCTGTCCTGTCCCCCACCCGTATTGCTCTAACCTCTAGACATTCCCCCTCACCTGGTCTTCCCTCCCCCAGCCCCTGGCATCTGGCTTTGCTGGAAGCACTAATGAAATTAAATCTAATTAAAGCAGCAATGACCTCAGACATCTGGGCCCGGGGAATTAATGGGGGGAAGCAGGAGATCGATTTCGCATGGCACATCGTACCTCCTGCACGGCTGGGGACAGCGCCCAACGAGCCCCCAGCCCAGTGCCCGGGAGGAGGCTGCCAGTTTATCCTGGGGAGGGTGGGGGGTCCCTGGGAAGTGGGGATCCAGGCTCTCCCCAGGGTCTGCTGAAGATATGGAGTAATTGTTGGGGGGGTCCCCTTAGAATCTACCCCCTACGCAGAGGTCTCCCTAGCTAGCGTACTGCTGCTGTGGGTGCAAACGAGGATGGGCAAATGAGGATGGGGTCGGATCCTGCCTGGCACCCAAATCCCGGCCAGCTGCTGCAGTAGGCTCCTAAACCCAGATGCTCAGAGGCATTTAGGCGCCTAACTCCCACTGGTCGATCTAGGCACTAGGAGGATCCAGCACAGGGACAGGTAGGGTCATAACACAGACAATGGGTGTGTGGCCCATTCCCCCTCACCCGCCCAGGGGGGGCAGCATCCATGGGCTGGCAGGTCAGGCAGGGCCCCATCCAACCTCCCCCCTCAGCTCCACGAGCAGGCAGTGCGGACAGACCAGACCTGGCGTCTGCACCAACCTACTCCAAGAGGCAGCTTGGTCTAGTGTTGGGAGTGGGGTCTGGGACCCAGGACTCCTGGATTCTAGCCCCAGCTCTGGAAGGGAAATGGCAGTCCAGTGGACTGGGGCGGGGGCTGGGAGCCAGGACACCAGGGTTCTAGCCCCAACCCTGCCACTCTCTGGCTAGGTAGCATTAGACAAGGCCCAGCCTGGCTCTGTGCCTCAGTTTCCCCTTTGTATCTATTGGGAAAACCAGCTAAATAACTACACACAATCCCCTAAATTCACCCAGAAACTCCACATGGCTTTATCTGGGCTTCTATGGGGGGGGCCTTCCCCTCTTGATCGCTTCCACTCCCCTGAAGTCCTAACTCAGACCGCATCTACCCAACATCCCCTTCCGCAGCCCAATTGGACTCGACAGGATTGCAGGGACCGAGAGCTCCCCCCCACCCCATGCTGTGTCTTTCCAGGCACCAGTTGCAGGCGTTTAATGCTAAGGAGAAGACAGAAGACACTCCCCGCTCCCCCCCCCCAGCCGTTCTGCACTGGGGAGCCAGGCTACAAAGTAGAGGATGGCTGAGCTAAGGAGAATCAATCATTGGGATTTCGGGGGCGGGGAGATCCCAGGGCCCAGCGTGCCCATCCATCAGGTGCCGCGAGCTGGCAGGGTGCAGCCGGCTCGCTTGTCACAGCCTGCTCCCGACATCCTCTCCCAGCTCCGCAGCCTATGCGGCAATTCATCAAACCCCGTGCCCCGGGGGGGACAGCTCCCCGCGCTGGCACGGACGGGCGCCTCTTTGCCGCTGGGCCCAGGCGCTGCCCTTGCCAGTCATTCCAGCTGATCCATCCTCAGGCTTCAGGGGCTCGCGGGCATTGGGGTCAGGAAGGAAATACCCCTCCCTGCCCTTGGGGCCCCAATTCTTCCCACAACATCCCCGATGTCTCCAGAGCCACCCCCCGCTTTCCCAAGCACCGGCCCAGCCCTGTCCCGCTTCCAGTGTGACTGGGAGCTGCCCAATGGGGGGTGCTGGGGGGCTGCTAATCACATTTGATTGGGGAGCTGCCAATCATACTCGCTGGGAGGGGCTGGGGCTGCCAATCACAGTCCAGAAGGGGAGGGCAGGAGCTGTCAATCACATTCGATGGGGGGCAGGGGGCTGCCAATCATATTCGATAGGGGAGGGAGGCTGGCAATCACATTCGATAAGGGAGCTGTCAATCATACTCACTGGGAGGGGCTGGGGCTGCCAATCACACTCCAGGAGGGGAGGGCAGGAGCTGTCAATCACACTCATGCACTGGGGTGGGGGCCCGGCAGCGATCACTCTCCACACCCCGAGTTTTTGTTTCATTCGCTTTTTTTAATCACATTTTCCCCTCAAGTTTATTTTGTTACAAAAATATGAAGAAATCTCAGCCCGTGGGGGTGGGGGGGGGCGTGACTGAGCCGGAGGGGTGCTGCCCGGAGCACGGGGGGGGGACTGAGCCGGAGGGGTGCTGCCCGGAGCACGGGGGGGGACTGAGCCGGAGGGGTGCTGCCCGGAGCACGGGGGGGGACTGAGCCGGAGGGGTGCGCCGGAGCACGGGGGGGGGACTGAGCCGGAGGGGTGGCCCGGAGAGGGGGGGGGGGACTGAGCGGAGGGGTGCTGCCCGGAGCACGGGGGGGGACTGAGCCGGAGGGGTGCTGCCCGGAGCACGGGGGGGGGGGGGACTGAGCCGGAGGGGTGCTGTCCGGAGCACGGGGGGGTGACTGTGACCCCCGACCCAGTGCACAGCTCAGCCCGGGGGGGGTGATCCCAGCTCGTCCTGGCCCCCCCAACCCCATGGCACCTACTTCTTCACTCAAATGCACATTTTATAGCTCCTGACGGGGCGGTGACGAGCGATCGACAGCTGGGGGGGCTCTGTCTGGAGGGGCCCTGCCTGCCCCCATGGCGGGCACCACGCCCGTGGCTGGGGGCTGGGCAGGATGGCACTGCCAGATGTGGGGGGGAAGCAGGGGAAGGCTCTTGCTGAGATCCAGGGGCACATCTCGGGGAGCCAGGGCTGGGCCCCCTCCCTCCGTGCCAGGGCTGCGAAACCAAGCCCGCTGCAGGGAGACACACGGAGACACGCACAAGTGTGTGACCACCCCGCGGATACACATCCAGGCACCCACATGTGCACAGCCGCACACACGCAGGGCCACAGGTGCACGCACAGCCACAAAGGATGCAAACTCACACCAGTGCACAGATGTGCGACACACCCAACCCCCCCCCATGGTCTTACTTCACACTCTCTCTGCTGGACTCTCTGTCGCCCTTTGCCACCTTAGCCGTGCGTGGGAATCCGGCCATGATCTGCCTTCCCCCTCGCCCACGCCCTCGGTCGGCTCCTTCCCAGCCCTGCAGGGGTCTAGGGGGGTCCCTGAGCAAGGGGGAGAGCCTGGGGCTGGGAAAGGGGAGCAGGCAGGCCCCCCCCCACGGCTTCCGTCCCACAGCACCGGGGCGACCCTGCGGCCTGCAAGGGGCGGGGGTGCAGTTGGGCAGGGCTGAGCAGGGGGCACATGGGGGAGAAAGAAATGGGGGGAGGCCCTGGTCCCCTCCCGAATAACGTGCTCCCTCCCCTGCGCAGGGGGCAGGGGTGGGCACGGCTCCAGGGGAGCGAAGGGAGAGCAGCGCCCGCTTGCAGCCGGGCTGGACCCGGGGGTGCAGCGCTGGGCAGGCATCGCCCCATCATCCCCGGGGCCGGCTCCTGGCTCAGCCACGCAGCCCGCTGGGGTCAGAGCCGGGAGGGCCGGCAGCAGGCAGCTCTCACCACAGCCCCAGCCCCCCCAGGAGGAGCCAGAAGGGCGGGTTGGCTCACCCCAGGCGATGGCTGGCAAAGGTACCTGTCTGCGCTGGGCCCCGAGCCATCAATCCGTACACACACACCCCACATCACTGATACATTTACACACGCATGCCTCTGCCAATCACACACCAGCTAACCCCCCCATATCACTGATACATTTACACACACACTCCCCGATATCACGGATACATTTACACACAGACATGCATACCCACAAATCACACTCCAGCCAACACCTGACACCCCCCGACAACACCCCCAATACCACGGATACATTTACACACGCACACCCCCACCAATCACACACCAGCCAGCACCCCCATATCACTGGTACATTTACTCATGCACACCCACGAATCACACTGCACCCAACACCTGACATCCTCCCCCCACAATATCATGGATACATTTACACACAGACACACACACACCAATATCACGGATACATTTACACACGCACACCCCCACCAATCACACGCTAGCCAGCACCCCCAATATCCCAGATACATTTACACACGCAGGTGCACACACACACCCCCGTGCCGATTTGCACCTCTGGATACGTGTCACTCGGTCGCCCTGTGCAGCCCCTGGCCCTCGTCCCCCCATTTCCCAGCAGGGATGGGGCCACCGGCTCCGGCTGCGCTGCTCACATGTCCCCCCGCCCGTCCTTCCACCGCGGTCCAAGGGGATCCGGCTGCGTCAGCCCGGCCTGGCCGGTCCCGAGCGGTTCCGGAGGACCGTAGCTGATGGAGCAAAGAGTCCGGTCCACAGATCCCCACAGGGGCTCGCCACAGCCCGGGGTGGGGGCGGCCGCACAGCGTCCCCCGCGCCCGTTCCACGGCACCCCCTCCTCCAGGCGGCTGGGAGAAGCCCATCTACCACCCCCACCAGGGCGAGGCAGGGTCCTTCCCCGCCCCCTGGACGCTGTGCGAGCTGGGTTTTTATTCTGGGGGGCCGGGAGGGGGTTCAGCCGAAGTAGGGGCGGTCGTGCTGGAAGTTGTAATCGGGGCAGACCTTCTGCACCAGCTTGTAGTCAAAGCTGCAGAAGGAGACGAAGATGCAGATGACCTTGAAGGGCTTGGCGCACAGCCAGGCGGCGTGGCTCTGCGTGTGCTCGGTGAAGCACACCTTGGCCGGGTCGTAGAGACAGGGCTTGTTCTTCCGGGCCCGGTTGGTCTTCTCGTACTCCACGTGGCAGTTGAAGGCCCTGGGCTCCTTGGCCTCGGGCAGGGTGGCCTGCTGGGGCTCGGTGGCCGGCGGGGGCCCCAGCACGTCGAACTCCACCACCTTGCCCGGGGGCACGATGCTGACGGAGACGTTGCCCAGGCTGGAGGAGTTGTGCCGGAAGTAGACGCTGAAGGTGCCGTTGACGTGGTCCACGATCTTGCCCGTCACCAGCAGGCTGAACTTGAGCGTCTTGATGTTGAAGTAGAAGTCGCCCCAGCCGAAGATCTTCCGGGCCCGGCCCGTCTTGAGCAAGGGCTTGCGTTGGCCCGGGGGCTCGGCACCCGTCTGGTTCCTAGGCCAGGCCCAGGGGGTCAGGGCACCGGCCTTGGCCTTTGAGGGCTCCCCGGAGAACAGCCGGGCCGGGGGCAGGGGCGGAGGCTTCAAGGCGCCGGACGGGAGGGTCTTGAGGAGCCCCGAGGTGCCCAGCTCCAGGTAGCCCAGGGTTTTGGTCATGTGGCCCTCCACGCAGACCACCTGTGGGGGGCAGAGAGCAGGGGGCAGCGAGTCAGCACAGCCCCACCTCCCAGCACAGTCCTGACCCCCAAGTCCCTGTGCCCCCAGCCCTGCCCCCGATCCTCTGCGCCCCGCTCCCCAGCATGGCCCTGCCCCCAATCCCGTGCCCCCAGTTCCACTCCCCAGCACAGCCCTGCCCCCCAACCATTGTGTCCCCACCCCCTGTCTCTCACTCTCCAACACAGCCCTGCCCTGCCCCACCCCCAAACCCTGCCAAACTCCCCGAGTCAGCAGGCTCAGTGCCAAGGCCTCGGAGGGTCCCTCAGAACCGGGCCCGGGTTCCCCACGAGCGCCAGGCCCGGCACGAACGCTCTCCGGCCCCTACCACCGCGCCAGAGCCCCGGGGAGGCGACTCCGGGTGAACCGAGGGGCTGCTGTGGCTGGTTTTATGGTAGCATCGAAACGCCGGCGTGCCAGAGCCCACGAGGCTCACGTGAGCACCTGCACGCTCCCGCACACGCTCACACCCGCACGCACGCTCTCGCACGCTCACACACAAACACACATGCATTCACCTTTGAGCATCCCCCCTTTCCTCCCGCGGCAGTGTGTTTTCACTACTCCTGCAGTACACACACACACACACACACACGCTCTCGCACGCGCACACCAACACACACGCACGCTCACACACACACACACATTCACCTTTGAGCATCCCCCCTTTCCTCCCGCGGCAGTGTGTTTTCACTACCCCCGCAGTAGACACACACACTCACACATGCACGCTCTCGCACACGCACACCAACACACACGCACGACACTCACACACACAAACACACATGCATTCACCTTTGAGCATCCCCCCTTTCCTCCCGCGGCAGTGTGTTTTCACTACCCCCGCAGTAGACACACACACTCACACACGCACTCTCTCACACGCACACCAACAACACGCACGCACACTCACACACACAAACACACATGCATTCACCTTTGAGCATCCCCCCTTTCCTCCCGCGGCAGTGTGTTTTCACTACCCCCGCAGTACACACATACACTCACACACGCTCTCGCACACACACACCAACACACATGCACGCACACACACACACACATGCATTCACCTTTGAGCATCCCCCCTTTCCTCCGACGGCAGTGTGTTTTCACTACCCCCGCAGTACACACACACACACTCTCGCACACGCACACTAACACACAGCACGCTCACACACAAACACACATTCATTCACCTTTGAGCATCAATAGCACAGATAAGGTGTGAGGTCCTCCTACGGCAGTGGTGGGTGAAATTCACTATCCCCTGCATTGTGCAGGAGGTCAGACTCTCAGATGATCACTAATGGTCCCTTCTGGCACTAAATATCATATGCATTCATGAATTTGAGCATCCCCCCCTTTCCTCCCGCGGCAGTGTGTTTTCACTACCCCGGCAGTACACACACACACTCACACACGCACGCTCTCGCACGCACACACCAACACGCATGCACGCTCACACACACACACATGCATTCACCTTTGAGCATCCCCCCTTTCCTCCCACGGCAGTGTGTTTTCACTACCCCCGCAGTACACACACACACACACACACGGCTGAGCGGCAGGTGGGGACATGCTGGAGACAGGCTGCTGCGGGTGTAATTCACAGGTACAGGGACCAGGCAGGGATCCTCATTAACGGAGCCGCACAGGCGATGACTAAATGCAACAGGCAATTTACCAGCCTGGGCCAAGGCAGGCCTGGGGATATCCAGGCCAAGCCCATCCCTGGGGCAAGGCCATGGGCACTAACCCAGCCCCGGCTCGGGGCGATTCTGCTGTGCGCCCCGCTGTTTCCGGCCTTCCTCTTTCCCTGAGGTTTCCTGCCCCCAAAGCAGAGCCATGTTCCCAGGTCCCCCGCCCGTCCCCCGGGGGGAAGCAGACCCGGGGCACTGTGCCCGGGTGACCCAGGCACCCACTGTGCAGGGAAGTTTTCAGGCAGTTTCTAACTACAGGAAACGGGCGCCTGGCAGTTCCTTGGCACCCACGCTGGCAGCCAAGCCCCATTAAAATGCAGGTGGGAGGGCGGGGCTGGGGGGGAAGCCCAGTGCCGCCTGCCTGGGAAGCCTAATTGTATTATACGGAGCCTCTGATCTGCAGCTGAAATGACAGGGCCGAGCGCAGCAGGTGCACGGGGAGATGCCGGGCAGGGCCGCTGGAACACACCGCGCCCCCAGCTTCCGCTGGGCTGGTGCAGCCTCCCCCCGCCCCTTAAAGCGGGGACTGGAATGAAAACCCAGCCCGGGGGGCCCTTGGAACAAGCTGCCCCTGGAGAGGCCCCAGCGATGAGCCCCCGCCCTTCGCTGGGCGGCGGCTCTTGTCCCAGGGACTCCGGACACCATGCACATATTCATTCCCCCCCCACACACACACACTCTCAGCAGGCTGGGGCATACCACTCCCCTGCGTCGTCACAGGGAAACTGAGGCACGCAGCCAGTGGGGAATTTCCCCCAAGGCGAGGCATTGGTAGAGGCAGGAATAGAACCCAGGAGTCCTGACACACACCACCTCCCTCTTCTGGCCTGCTGCCACCCCTCGACTTCGCTCCTCCCTTCCAGGGCTGGGAATGGAACCCAGGAGTCCTGGCCGCACACCTGGCTTCCGAGAAGGGGCTAATGGGTGGGAGGGGAGGCTGGGAGTCAGGACTCCTGGGTTCTATTCACCTGTGGTTAATTGGCTGTTTCTAAGCTCCTTCGGCCCTACCAAACTGCTTCTGAAAGGGGTTACATATGACCCGTACCCAGCAAACCCCACGCCAGTTCACTGCCGAAATGCAGCCCCCTCTGGGGTGGAACACGGCCGCTGGCTAAGAGCAAACAGCCCGGCGGTTTGGGACAGGAAGTGAAGGGGGCTGTCGGTACGTGCATTGCACTGTGTCCCCTAGAAGGTGCCAGAAAGGGATGGTGCCAGGTGCTGGACACGCATCCCTGCCCCAGAGAGCTACCGGTCTCCATTCGCCTGCGAGATCAGGCCCTGTCTCCGGCGGGGCTACCCTGCACGTGGCTCATCTTCCACCTCTTTACCCAGCCCCCATCCCTCCACTCTACCTACTTATCCCCCCCAAATCCCGGCCCGCGCTGGCTGCAGTTTCTCTGAGCTGTCTCTCCATTTATCACCCCCCCGGCCCCCCCTCTGCGGCTGGTCTCCACCCGGCGTGTCTCAGCTGCGCTCCGGTGGCTTTTGATCACGGCGCGGCCCAGCCTCGTCAATCACTGTCACTTCCCGGCGCTGCCGCGGTGGCAGGTTTTTATGCTCAGCTCCAGACGACCTGGTTTCCCAGGCAAACAATGTGGGGGGGGGGGCAGTTCGGAGGCGGGGGGCTGAGGAGCCGGTGTCAAAAGATCGGGGGGGCGGCGTGTAGGTTCGGGACCGGGTTGTCCTGGGAAACTAACATACTCCCAGGCTGAATGGAAGCTGGCCGGGGGCGAAGCTAGTGACACAGATGGAGTGAGTTTGTCAGGTCTCAGTCCAGCTCCCAGGCCCCGGGGGGTTTGAAACCCAGGAACTAGGGGTGCTGGTGTGGGGGCTAATTGGCCTGGTCCTTGGTTACTCCGTTCCTGTACCTGGCCGGGGAGGGTGGCGGGGGCAGGTGTTTTAACCCACCTTTACACGGTCTGCGATCTAGGCCCTGCCCAGTCCCGGGCCCCAATTAGAGCAGCCTCAGGGCTGCTGTAACCTTTGCACTGCTCCCCACGGCCGCCTCTGAAGGCTGGGGCGGAGGTGCAGGGTAAGGCCGGAGCGGCACAGACGGGGCCGGAGTCGGGTGCCGTGGCCGTCTCTGCCTAAGCACTCGGGGCAGCGCCCCCAGCCCCTCTTCCAGCCAAGCCGGGGGGCCGGGCGGGGACACCCTGGAACGGCTCCTGTTCCTTTCTGCCTCCACGGCGGCTGCCGCAGCTCCAGGCTGCCGTGGAACCAAGTCCGCGGCCGCGGGGTGAGCCGGCGGGGACACCGCCTGGGCCTGGCAGCGCGGGGGGGCCTGGCACCTGGAGAAGCCAGTGGCCTTCCTGGCGGGCGGCCCCTCGGGGGCACAGGGCGAGCTGCTCCCGCCTGGCAGGGCCCGGAGGTCTGACGGGATGCGATGGGTCCTCACCCAGCCTGCCCCAGGTAGGGGATCCGAGCAGCCCCCACCCCCGGCCACACGCCGGGGCCCAGCCCAGAGATGCTGCCGTTCCCCGGGGCCTTCAACACCCCCTCCCCCCATGACGGGACAGATGGCACCAGCCCCTCAATTCACGGCTCGGCCCAACGCCTGGCTCCTCCCTGGCACCAAGCCGGGAATGGGGAGTGGGACACCGGGCCCTGCCCTGCTCGGGGAGCTGGGTCTGATCCAGGTCCCCCTCCACCACACCTGGGCCAGCCCTCCTCCCCCCCCCCCCCAATCTCTCTCTCTCTGAACACGATCAGCCTTATCTATACTCCACTGCAGCTTCAAAGCCGGGTGTCTGAGCTGCCAGGAGCCGGAGCCCCAGCGTGGGCAGGAGGTGGGGGGACAAGGGGGGGCCCCCAGGAAAGAGTGAGACCTCGGGGGGGGGGGGGAGAATCGAGAGAGAAGGGGGGAAGGGAACCACGGCGGTCATGTCAATCACCTGCCCCCCCGCCCCATTATCTCCCATCTGCCGCCCAGCCCAGTGCCTGCCCGCGGTTATTAATCCTGCTGCTCATACATATTCATTGCCCCCCCCGCCCCCCTCGAATCCTGTCGGGGGGGGGAAGGGGCGGCCTCCTGTGCGGTGCAGGAAATTACCAGGAAATGAGCCCGCCCGAGACGCTGCCCGTGATCCCCCCCACCCCCAGCTGCACCTTCCGCGGGGCTGGGTACCCGGGACTCTCTGCCGCGGACTCACCAGCAGTCGGGGAGGGGGGGGATAAAGGGGCAGCTGGGGGCAAATGATCCATGTGCGGGAGGCAGCGGGGAGCAGGGGAAAGACCTTCCCACCGCCCCCACCCCAGATAAAG